TCTCCCCCACATCTTAGTCTTCACACCTTTCCAAGTCATTGATCATCGGGCCTCCCACAATCCAAACATGGCACCCACCCATGGCTCTTCACAGCTCTTTATTCAGACAACACAGACCACAGGACACACCAGCCAGTCTTCATTCTGCTCACAGGAAGGGGCTTTCTTGGCTACTGTCCGTCAGGGTTGGTGCTGGGTGGGGCTGCAAGGCTGTAGATCTCTTTAGGTTGGTGTCACCTTGTCATATAGAAGCACCTGTAAACATGGCCTAAGCTGCTTCTCCTATCGTGAGACAGTGTCATGTGTCTTACACATGTGAATTAAAGAATTGAGGCCATGAGGCCAGTGTCAATCTGGGAGAGATGTGGACCAGCAGCAGGTCAACTTGTTTTGTCTTACACGTCACATCTGCTTGACAATACAGACCACCGTGTACACCGAACCTCGTGGTTGTCTAGATCAGATACTACCCAGCTCATAATGGAAATGGAGTCCTACGGTCACTTAATTCTCAGAAATAGGAGAGAAGTTGTCTAATGGAAAATAACTTATCCGTAGAAGGCCATTTTTACTCTACAGCCCTACAGATCTGCCCGTGATTCTCTTGTTGGTTACTGCCAGGCCAGATCCAACACTATTTGCTAAAGCCACCCCAAGTGTCCTTGGCTTTGTTGGGCTGTAAGAGCCAAGTCAGAGCAGCTGGAAGTGCAAGCTGGTGGGCTCGAGTCAACATCTCTCTGCTACCCACTCAGAACTGGGATGCTGACTTGCAGGCTCCACCTCCAAGTCAGCCGATCATACATTATTTTAAAAGCCACAACCCTTCCCTTTGAATCTAGGAAATCCAAGCTACCTCATGGAGGGGTCAACAAAGAATGAACCCCATAACCAGCACCCACTGCCAACCTCAGTGCAGCATCTTGGAAGAGGCTTGTCCAGTCTCAGCTGAGTCTTGCCCCTGTGCGGCAGAAACAAGGTGTCAACTGCCAACCCCTGCTCAGATTTCAGATTCCTGAGCAGAATAAATGGTGGCTGTTGTTTCAAGCCACGTACATTCGGGTGTGGTTTGTTATGCAGCAATAGGTATCTGGAACATACAGACAAAAGTGGGACTGAGTCCAAAGATCAGATGAGATTTGGGAGGCTTTCTCCGGTGACCCCTGCTGACAGGGACACGGGGCTGTGTAAGGAAGGTTCTGACGGTCACAATAGAGATGGTACAAGTGTTGGGGGAAGTGAGGAGTGCTGTGCATATGTGTGACTCAGGTGTGTTCACTGCTGCCAGGGTATAGGCTGGGGAGGACAGTGTTTCTATCACCTGTGACTCCTCTCTATCACACATGATGGAACTCATCCCCTGCACCTCACACACCGTAATCAAAGTTCTTTTTTATTCTGACGATGCTGTGATTCAGGCTCAGGGTCTTATACATGCTGGACAAGCATGCACCACTGAGCTATGCCCCCAGACCGTTTTAAATTTTTGAGAGAGGATCTTCTATGTGGCCCAGACCAGCCTCAAATGCAAAATCTTCCCACTTCAGCCTCCCAAGTAGCTGAGATCACAGACATTTATCAACCCCCCCCCATAATTGCGCTTCAAGACAATTATAAAAATAAAAAATTCCTTGGTGGTTTTGCTGTATAGGGGATCAAGGAAATGGGCCTCACTGGAGAGACAGGAGTAATTTTAACGTGATGTTTGTCTGTAGGTGGAAAATCTTAACATATTTGCAAGCCAACAGAAAATGGCTCACTCCAAGGCATGAGGACTACAAAGTAAAGTATGAAAAGGTTTGTAAATTGGCCATGGGGGAAAGGCCTGTAATCCCAGCATTGAGAAAGCTGAAGTAGGAAGTTTACAAGCTCAAGGCCAGCCTGACCTACTTAGCAAGTTCAAGGCTGGCCTGAGCTATACAAGAAAGAAAAACTACAGCTATCCTTAAGGCTTGGATCGTTTAGAAAGGAATCACCCACACCAAGAGTATAGGGAGAAAGCGTTCCTCAAATGCAGAACCTGCAAGCCTTTTGTGAATCTGTGTTCCTTCCTGGAATAGCTCTACTCTTAGACTCCCCCATCTTTTCAATCTCCCCTGACCTGGGACCGCTGCACTTCTCTATTCTAACACCGCTTCCCTTGTGTGCACAAAGCAACGCAGACTGTGAGTGATCTCAGCGTTCAAGCATCTGGAGACAGCTGACCAGAATCTGTAACTCTTTCCACTTCAAGGAATGCTGGGGCTAAGACTCCAAGAAATTGTAACAATAGCTAGAAAATGCAGCTCAGTGTTGGGAGTACTCACACAGCAGCATGAGGGAGGCCCTACGTTCCATCTCCCCAGCACTGCCTAACTTCCAAGAGCGTTTCTCATAACCTCGACCACAGAAGCCTCATCCCCAATCCCCCAGTGATCCTGCTTGCCACCCTCAGCAACGCCTGGTTCATAGGGGCACCTCCATTGCCTTTGATAAATTGTTTGCTTAAGGAGATCCAGGCTTCTATTTTTGTGAGTCCAGCATGTGTAGTATACACGTGTGTGCATGCTCACACATGTGGAAGCACATGTATGTGCAGCGTGCATGTACATGTGTGTAAAGCTTGAGGCTAACATGGGGGGGTTTCCTCTATCACTCTACCTCATGTTAAGGCAGGGAGGGTCTCTCTTACTGAACCTAGAGCTTGCCACTTAGGGCAGTCAGGCTAACTAGCTTGTTCCAGGGAGTCTGCCTGACTCCTAAGCACCCACCTCTGGCTCTTGAGTGGATTCTGATTGAACTCCAGCCCTCATGTTTGCACAGCAGGTGCTTTACCCACTGAGCCATCCCTCCAGTCCCAGAGATTTTTTTTTTTTTTTTTTCTACATACAGCAGATTCAGTCAAGAACTTTAAACCTTGCTTCAGCTTTCCTGGAAAAACCAATGCCTCCCAAGCCAGGTCCCAGCAGACTTGAGGAAGTCCTCATCTGGTTTCCATCCTTGCCAACTAAGTGATGTTGTTAACTGGTATGTTCCCACACATCCTAGCAACCTTGGCTTCTCCAGGGCCATCTCTACCCAGACTGCTCACAGGAATCACCCAGGGCTGCTTCAGGCAAGACAACCAGGCTTGAATCAGAGCCGGAGTGCCAAAAGCCAGGGCTAAAACTTGGTCTTCACATCATCAAAATCAGAGCACATGCTTGATTCTGTCACAGTCCTAACCTTGATGATCAGAACTTGCAACTGGTAATTTCACTGTTCATACCCCACAAGGGGTTACTCTTCCCCTTGGCTTGTTTAGATGTGGTGAGATGGCATGACATCACTCATTTCTTTAGTGGTTATAAAATGAAGGTTGGGGGCTGGCCCATCAGTTAAGAGTACATACCACTCTTACAGACTACCAGTGTTCACTCCCTAGCACCCACATAGAGCAGTTCATCAATGCCTGAAACTCAGTTCCAGAGGACTCAAGACCCTATTCTGGCCTCCATGGGCATCTACACATAACCGCTTGATTCACACACACCATACACATAATTACAAGTAAAAATAAGTGGTTTTTAAAAGTCTCAGAAATAACATGCATAGGAGTTTAGCATGGTACCAGACAAAATCATGTATATATGTATCTACATATATGTATGTATGTATATGCATACATATTTGCTTATTTAATGTACTAGAAATTGAAACTAGGTCTTCATGCATGCCAGGCAAATACTCTAAAGGTGGGCCTTTTTGCTTTTTGAAACAGGGACTAAGTTGCCCAGGCTGGCCTTGAACTTGAGATCCTCCCACGTCAGCCTCCTGAGTAGCCTCAAGTAGTGTACTAGGCCTGCTTCACATCAAAGTATTAAACGGTTCCTAAGTAACACAGTCTTCTCCTTATCACCTTAGTCGGCCACAGTATTTGTCCCTGGTCAACCTGGTTTAAAAACGTACATTAGATTTTAAGAATTCAAGCCAGGACAGTTTATTTGACTATCAGAACCACATTCCATAAGAAGGTCAGACGGCCACTCTACCTGGTAGGTCAGTAGTCGGAAGCCTGTCCCGGACCCTCATTGCTGACATACTTGTCTAGCTGACTCTGACCTCTGCCTGGATCACACTCTCTATTCTAAATGACAGTCTCCACATACTACCTCACACATGAGGATACAAACTGGCTTGATGCTCCTGATTATGTCTGACCCTCACAGACCTGTTTTTCTTTCCCTCCTCGCTCTTGTTCACTGACTAAGCCTCTATGTGCCGGAGACTAGAATGGGTGTCTTACAAACGTTATTGCTATTTCCCTAACCCCAAAGACAGCATTATTCCTAGTCCATAGTTTACAAATCAGAGGTCCTCCAGTTAAAGTGTGTGGTGGGTGTGCTGTGGCCAAATCAGTGGTGACTGCATCAGTCTCTTCACAGGGAAGCAAACCTACAAGCATCTGTGTCACAATGCTCATGACAGGCATCACAATGCTTGTCACAGGCATAGCACTGGTTGCTAGGGGGTCACTTAAGAAGAGGGTAACCTACTCTAAAAAGGGCTTCATTGCTGCTAGTTAACTCTGAATGAGAACAGCAAAAAACAGAAGCTAGCCCCACATTTGTATTAAATACAAACATACAAGAAAGTTATAAAAATATTTTATTGATGTTACAGAAAAAAAATCATATATACTTAAACATTATTAAACGTATCTATGTTGAAAATGCTAAAAACCCAATAATTTAATGATGATAAAATCCAAAGTAACAGGAAACCATATAATGCTTCCGTTTGGTCCTCTCACCTAAAAGCTGTGACAAATATGAGCTATCCAGTGAGTAATAAAGGTGACAACACAATTCCTTCATGCTTGCTTCCAGTCACCTTATACAAGGGCAGCTAGCCCACAAGTGGAAGGGCCAGGCTCTGTAAAACTGTGGGCGCTGTGCTCCTGTAATGGGCCACTACTGACTCCAAAATCAAAAAGACTAACACTTGCTGGTTCTGTCTAACACAAACTGCTGACAATTAATCACTTTCTGCGAACACCCGAGAGAAAGATCATTTATTCTGATTTCAACAGCAGATTTAGAAAGTCACAATTTTTCCATGGAAACAACTCACTTTGGAGACACTAGTACACACTGGGCTTCTTTCTCCTTCACGTCAGTGGCACAAGCTGGATGCTTTGTTCATTTTAAATGGTCATGTTCTTAAGTCTGGAAGAAAACAACACTTATGTACCAAGTGAAACATCTTAAGCTCATGAGTTTCCATTTAAAAACAAAAGTGTATGTGGCTGGAGAGATGGCGTTGTGGTTAAGAGTACTGGCTGTTCTTGCAGAGGGCTGGGATTCCCAACCTCTTTAACTCCAGTTCTGAGGGATCCTATGTCATCTTCTAGCCTCTATAGGAACCAGAGACATAGGTGATGCATATACATACATACATACATACATACATACACACACACACATACATACATATATACATACATACACTAAAACAAATACACACACACACATTTTAAAAGGTCAATCTGCATGCCTCCTAGAACCACAACACCAACCATGCACCAGGCACACAAAAGTCAAATTCCCCCATACATCTGGAAACTCAAACAGACAGAGCCCAAGATCTCCAGCCACTGGGGGTGGGGGGAGATCAGGGTCAACCAAAGCTGTGGAAATGGCATGACCCAGGGACTCTGAAATTCTTAAAGTGACACAGAGGTCCCATGAGTCTGAGCGGTCTCTGGACATAGTACAATGCTGGAGGACAATGTCTGTGTCGGCGTGGTGATGGCCAGCAACAGCAGCATCACATGCATCCCTTCTTTCTGGTCACACTCCCCTCTGAGGGACTCAGGGTACACACACACCATCAATTGGGACACCCTGGTCTTGAGCACTGCACATCATTCTGACCTCTACTTCCCTGGGCCTCATTCCCCAGGTCTGCAAATGGCTCTGTCAAATTGATTTTCTCCAAGTTCAGATGTGAGTGGAATGAAGGGAGGCACTATCTGTCTTTTCTACCTTAATCACAGCATGACCTTCTCAATACTCTATATACTTCCTTGATAAATGTTTATCAACACTCCCAAACAGGGCAGGGCTGGTCCACAGGGATACATAAATCCTCTAAATAGTATGAAAGAACAGAATTCATTCTTTTTTTTTTTTTTTTTTTTTGTTTTTTTTCAAGGCAGAGTTTCTCTGTATAGCCTTGGTTGCCCTGGAACTTACTCCGTAAGAGTAGTTACTTACTCTGTAGACCAGGCTAGGCTTAAACTCACAGAGATCCTGCCTCTACCTCCCGAGCACTGGGATTAAAGGCATGCACCACCACAGGCCGGCTGAACAGAACAGGTGGCTGGAACAGAATTTTTTTTTAAGTTATTTTTATTTTATGCACATGAATCTTTTGCCTATGTGCATGTATGTATACCACACGTGTGCCTGATGTCTGTGGAGGCCAAAGTGCTAGATCTCCTGGAGCTAGAGTTACAGGTCGTTGTGAGTTACGACACTGATGCTAGGAATTGAACCCAGGTCTTCTGAAAGAGCAACCAGTGATCTGAACCAGTGAGCCATCTCTCCAGCCACTGAAAAGAACTTTTTAAAAAGGGTTAGGGTACCACCCACCCAAATTCTATAGAAAATGGCAGAATATGTACCAAATTGGGTAAGACCACCAATTATTCAGAGCCAACAGCCATCCACACAGTAAAAAATGGCCCCATGTGAACTTATCCACAACAGGACACACACGCTATCTTCATGAATTCTTTGAAAGGCAGAGTGCCATCTCTGAAAAAAATGGGCACTCAGAATTACACCTTGTTTAAAAAACAAAACAAAAATTCTACACCTTGTGACAGTGGCCTTAGTTGTGTTCAGTGGTGACGTGCTCTGGCACAAAAACAACAGGAAGTGTTTCCTAGTCAGAGTGCCCTCGGGAAGTGACTGTTAGTCACAGTTCACCGTTAGAAACAGGGATCCTACCTTGAGCTTATCCGAGGAGTGAGATGAACATCACGACCCCCATAAACTGGGTGAACAGCAGCAAGGGAGTGAAGAATGACCATACATTCCACAGAGCCAGGTTGAAGCTGAAAGAAACCAAAAACAGCTGACAGTGGCGAGTGGGACAAGTATACTCCACTGGAGTTAAGGAATGCGGCTGAAGAACATCCACCCACGCAGCTCTTTACATCCAACACCACCATCCAGTGGAGAGATTTCTGCCTGTCCTGGGAGAAGCAGCACTGGGACCTGGGTGACGTGGCCTCTGAAGGGACCGCCATGGCTCAGTTGATGTTAAGTCTCTTTGTTAGCATGTGTGACGGACCAAACTCAAACAGCTGCAGCCTGCTTTATCATCTCAGGCATTAGCATAGGAAAAAGGCGAAACGACTCTTAAAGCAGAAAGAAAAAGCAATGGTGCACACAATGCTATAAAACCTTTATTACAGAAAACAGCATTCCTGTCACCAAAACACTTTCTAAAAGCAGACAAGTTTCCATGACTGAACTGAGAAGCAGAAGCTACCAAAGGGAAAGCACAAACATTTTCATAAGCTCTGGGTATCTCACAGCTCTAAAACTAATTTGACATTTCTTGGGATGCTGGAGCTACAGAAAGCAAAGTGAAGCAGCCTCTTCAGTCCACCCTCACTATGGAATTCGCACAGTGGCCTCACAGTGGCAAGCAGCCCAACTACAGCCAAAACAAGGTCAGAGATAATGCATTTAATATATATAAATTTAATATATTTTACATACATTTAATATACATAAAGCTTTAAGACTTTTCAAAAACTCAGAATCCAATTTACATAAAGAAAAGCCAAAGAGCTGAAGCTTGTTTTTTTCTAATAGATATTTTTTCTGTTATTTACAAGTTTTTCTTCAGTGAACAAGTGTTACCTTTTTTGACAAAAACAAACAAACAAACAAAACCAAAAACAGCCTCTCTTCTTCACTGAGCAAGCGTGAACTTAGAAAGGTGGATTCACTTGGCACTGTATGAGCATAAAACTTGCTGTGTGTGCAACAGGGAATGGACTGAGCAGTCCTGGCATGTGCACATTGTGAAAGACATGTAACCTTTAAGATACAGCCACTTCCACTATGTTAGAACTACAGGCTGTGCTGTTAGACACGCACAGAATAGATGACAGGTGTCCCTTCTTACCTGGGGATCACTAGCTCCAAGATCTTGCAAAGGCACAAATCTCCAAAAGCTCAAGTCACCTGCACCTTCCCCCACATCCTTCTGTCACACCTCTAGGATTCTTACAGTGTGCCACATACTGTGAACTGCTACCCAAGGCACTGTTATGTTGTTGAGAGAGGAGCGGAGAGAAAAGGACCGTACATACTCAACACAGACTAACATTCACTTTGGGGGAACTGTGGCTGGTGAGCTCAACCACCTGGAAAGAGCCTGATGACATCTAATGAAGCCGAAGGTACAGATGCCCAGGGGATGCGCTGACCTCACCCTTCTAGGTATGCACGCACATCTAAGCCCAAAAGAGAGCAGAAGTGTGCTTAATGGCATCCTTCCAAACAGCACCGACTCTAAACAGCCTGACTGTGTGGCAGCATGACAGATACGCTGTGATTCAGTTGTGTAGTGGGATGACAAATGGCAATGAACAACTGCTGGGAAAAATCACAAGGGAACAGCATACACTTCACACATGCAGTTAAATGTTAAGACTGGTGACGGTACAATCAACTGCTCCAAAATTCAAAACTCAGAAAATCAAAACAGTGGTCATGCGATGCGCAAGTAATGGCCATAAAGATGGGGCAGCATTTGCATGTGGCAGGAAAGCACAGTGAAGGCAAAGGAAGGGTCAGGAATGATCACCAGGACGATGGCTCCACTCCTGCCTGACCTAAGTGAGAGCTGCAGCAGCACTCAGCTCATGATTAATTCACTCAGCTGCACTTGGTTTTCCTTTTGCGTATTTTATCCATTGCATCGAAAGACACGTAATAGACAGAACACAAGAGCATGTGCAGAGATCACCATCTGTGTCTTTTTTTCTTTTAAAGATTTATTATTTATATAGCATTCTGCCTGCATGTGTGCCTGCACGCCAGAAAAGGCACCATATCTCACTATAGATGGTTATGAGCCACCATGTGGTTGCTGGGAACTGAACTCAGGACCTTTGGAAAAACAGCCAGTGTTCTTAACCGCTGAGTCATCTCTCCAGCCCCCATCTGTGTCTTAAATAACTAAGGTGGGTCAAGAGAGAAAGGAACTGAGGAGACCACAAAGAGCAGACTGCCTGGGAACCCCTTTTCCCTGTTACACCCTGCTGCTTAATTTAGGTTATGGGTCACATTCTTCATCACCTGACCACAAAACAATTATTTTTCACTCACATTCAGCATTTCAACGTCCACTCACCAAATCCCTGCTGCAACGAAAGTTGCGGTTGTGATGGGTACCAGCGTTGGGTACTTGACATCATATTCTTCAATCCCACGATACCATTCCAGATAGACTATGCAGTAAAACGCAACTGACAGGCTGACAAACAACAAGGCACCACCAAAAAGAAACCAACTGTGGAGACAAAGAAAGTGTTGACAGCATTAGCAAAAGCAGCAGAGATTTCAATGACTTCAGTCTTTGGCTATGTGGCCATGTCTTTTTGTCTCTAAAAGCACATGTGTTGAGAGTATGTTTCAACTTTCTCTCATCTCCACAGCCCTGGCCCAATGTCTAATGTCTATACTGTCTCTACCACTGGAGGGCACATGGTCCCAAGGCCCCAATTATGGCTGTAGTTAATCCAACACATCATCTGTGTGAGATTTTTTCTAATGGTTTCTTCTCTCACGTTAAAGTTCTAGGGAAGCCTCCAAAAAAGGACACACAGTGAAGGCCCTGAAAAGTCTACCTTCTCAGCATGGACTCATTAGGCAATGCTCCCAGGCAGAGCCAACACCCTGCACACACACCCATCTAGCAGGCACAAAATGAGCTGCTGAAATCAGAAATGCTCCTGCCTCCATGGCAGACTCACCCTGGGCTTATCTCAAGTTCTAGTTAATGAAAAAGTAGATGCTGAGGTGGCATTTCAAATACTTTCCTTTCTCCCAGAAGGTTCTAAACCAGCTGAAAGATGAAGTTTGCTGACTGAATAAGATCAAGTGTCAGCCTTGTCATTGACAGAGCTGAGGGTAGATGATGGCTTTGGGCACTGATAATAAAGCCTTTGCTGACACTAAATCCCACAGACTTATTCCTAGGCTCCAGACCACAAATAAGACCTCCACCTTGTGAGTGTTACCTCTAAAAAAGGAAAGCAAGGAAAGTGAGTAGAGTCTGCCTCCTTTAGGAAGAGGACATAGTTCTTCATTTAAAACTCACTTAGATAAGTCACATGACCCACCAGAGAGAGGTGAATAGGGTGGGGGTGGCCTCCTCACTGAAGAGGAAACAATCTCTTCCCTAGAATTTAAAGGCACTCCCTCTCGACTTGGACCTTGACAGTGCCTCCACGAGTAGTCTGTTCCACCTGAAGACCTGTTTGAGGGCTGTATATCCATGATTCAGTAAGACCAAAGTCCCGTCTGCATCTTTTATGGACCTACCGTTCTATCCAGGCACTGCTCTTGGCACTAAACAAAGTCACAGGCTAGCTGTGACATCACCAACCTTTCTGCTATCTGACAGCCTTCAATTATTCACACATGATCCGTAACTTCTGTTCCATAGTCAACTCCTGCTCAACTCCTGGGATGGAGGATAGGAAATCTCCATCCCAGGACTGAAGGGCTATTTGACTTCAGGACTCAGACCTAAGCTCCCGACTCTTCCCATAGACCTTCAAGGCATCTCTGAGTCACAAACTCTAATCACCCCTTCCTAACTACTCTGCCAAAACTGCTCTGAGACACACCTTTCTCAGGCCACAGTTATCACTCCTCCTCTAGCTCTCAGGCCTTCTGGAGGCACAAGTGACAATTTTAAATTGCACTCATTCAAGGTATAATGAAATGATCTACTGTATGCAGCATAGAAAAATGACTACTAGAATCAGCTAACAGACATATCCAGCATATCATATAGCTAACAGAGCATATATGAGGATAATGCGGAGTACATGAGAGGCTCACATTAAGAACTTACATACACTGTATTATCAGGCTTTTATGTTACAAGCTGAACCCTTTAGCTAACCTGTTTTACTCTTTTCTATATTATCAGTAGTTGCTTCAACACCATGTCTGACAGAGACTAAGAAGTAACTGCATTTTGTTGTGTTCGTGAGTTCATGTTCCCTGTGCATTGTATGTATGTATGTGTGAGAGAGAGTGTATATAAGAGAACGTGTGAGAGAGAAAGAGAGAGAAGGGGACAGAGGTCAACACTGGCTTTCTTGCTCAGTCACTTTCTACCTTAATTTTTTTTTGTTTTGGTTTTGGAGACAGGGTTTCTCTGTGTAGCCCTGGCTGTCCTGAAACTCTCTTTGTAGACCAGACTGACTCTAAACTCAGAGATCCGCCTGCCTCTGAGACCTCCAGTGTGCTGTTAGCACCTTGTTTTTAAGACAGGGATTGACTGTGGAGCAAACTTGAAGGTCACTGACTCAGCTACAGTAACTGACCAACAAGCCCAGGGATCCTCACTTCCACCTACCTAGAGCTGGGACTAGAGACAGGCACTACCATACTGGCTTTTTTTCTTTTTTAAAAAAGTAGGGTCTGGGGCTCAAACTCAGGTCAATGTGCTTGTTCAGCAAGCACTTTACCAACTGAACCATCTCACCATCTCTTCACTATTCTGAGAACTCAAGTGACAAACTATAAAATGTTTTGTTGTTGTCGTTTTGGGCGGGGGGCTTTCAAGACGGGGTTTCTCTGTGTAGCTCTAGCAGTCCTGGACTCGCTTTGGAAACTAGGCTGGCCTCGAATTCACAGAGATCCACCTGCCTCTGCTCCCCCAAGTGCTTGGGATTACAGGCAGCAACAAAGTTGGGGGTTTTTTTTGTTTTGTTTTGTTATTCTCTTTTTGGTTATGTGAGACAGGGTCTCACCATGTAGCTTTAGGTATCCTAGAACTCCCTATATACACCAGGCTGGCCTTGAACTCAGAGATCTACCTGTAGCTGTCTCCCAAGAGCTGGGATTAAGGGTGTGTGTCACTACACATACCACAAGGCTTTCTTACCTATTAGTGTGAAAATTCTCTTTAAAGGTTTTAAAGAAATCAACATAATATGTCACAACAATGGATGCCAAAATCCAGAATCCAGAATGAATGTTAAGTCTTGGAAGAGGTCTCTCCTTTTTCTCAACAGCTATGGAAGTTTCTGCAAAACAGGGGAGATTTTTGAGTTAAAGAACTTAACCAGTTTTTTTACGACAGATGAGATCATCCCCTAGACCTTTCCAGCAACTAGAATCCCAGCCCACCACAGCACAAGCTCCTTCTGTAAAGCCATCAAGACAAGTTTACATGCAGGGGCAGAGATGTAGCCCAGTGGTAGAATACATGTTTAGCATGCATGACGTCCTAAGTTCTATGCCAAAAACCAAACAAGCAAATAGAAAAAATGGCAGACTGACATTTGCTGAAATAGTTAATAGAGCTCACTAGAAACTATGCTCAATATATTAATTATCCCTTCAAAATAAATCTTGGACACACACTTACACCTTTCTGATTTTCTGCATGCTGTGATGCCATCCAAAATTATAGTAATTTATTTCACATTTCCTCTAGGAAAGTAATTAGGTTAACTAGGAAAAATGTCAAATGTATGGGAATGAGAAAGCTCAGTGGGTAAAACACCTGCTGTACAAACATGAGACCCGAGTTCATCCCCACATAAAACTGAACATGAGAGTGGACGCCTGTAACCCCAATGCTAGGATAGTGACAGGTAGATCCTGGGATTGAGGGGAACCTATAAAAATATATATATATATATATTTTTTTTTTTTAATGTGGAGGGGAATAGAACAGAGAAAGATGCCTAGTGTCACTCTCTGGCCTCCAAAAGCACATGGAGCAGTAAATGCATGTGGGTGCACTAATAAAAGAGAAAAATGCCAAATAAAAAAAAAATTTTACCAAAATATTTTAAACAGACATCAGCTTTTGAGGTAGCCTAAACATGGAATGGCACAGCAGAGCTCTAGCCCCAGAATGCCCCATGGACCGCACAGGTGTTTGTTAGGCAAGCCATCTCTCTCTCTCTCTCTCTCTCTCTCTCTCTCTCTGCAAACCAAAATGAAAGGATTCTGACACTCCCTCTCCGTGTTGTCACATGGGGACACTGGTCTCCAAGTGAGATTCAGTTGACTATCAGGGTCTCTGGAAAGGTTAGTAGTAACACAAGTTCTTGAAGGTATTCTCAAAATGCATACACTGTCATGCCTTGGCACGGTGTTGCCAGGGTTTATTTTGAAAAGCTACTAAATGGACAAAGGTTTTACAACGTCCAGGTCAAACGGCTCTAAAATGAACTGTCTCTCATCCTTAAAGTTCTCCAGCCTATAGGCAACTAACAGTAACAGTTCCTATGGAATTGTTCCTTATTCTGTGCATCTACCAAGGCACAGGATACATCGTGGGTTGTAGTTTATACCCAAATGGTGGCATGTCATACATTATTCAGAGCTTCCCTCTGAAACCCGGCAGAGATGCATCTAATCCAAACTTATTCAGCTAGCTTTCTGCTGACAGGCAGCTAAGTATTTCCGTACCGCATTACAGGCAAAGCTGAAGCAAAACACTGCACACGTCTTCGTGTCGGTTCTTGAGTCAATTCTTAGACTCAGAAACTATGGTTGGTTTTAGCTTAAGGGGTGTTTCCAAACCCGAGTTAAGTCGGCTCTCCACGGAATGCGGAAATGCAGCTCAGGGGAAGATGCAAGGGTTGCAAGACCTGCGGCCCTACTAGGTTAGCCCTGGAGCCCAGAGCCCGGGGAGCGTCACCTGGCCTGGCGTCGTCCTCGCAGTCCAGCTCCGCTTCGGGAGGAAATAAGTAACGGCGCCGGAGCTGTTCCCGAGCCCACGGAGCATCCATCTTGGCGCTCCCCAATGCGACGGAAGTGACGGCACGCAGGACTTCCGGCGCCAGCTACGAGGGCGGAATCTCCCTGCGGATTGGAACGGTATTACCTTCGCTATTTGCAGTTGGCCTAGTAGAATCCGCGCTAAACAAACAAAAAGAATTTGAACTTAGAATATTGATCTGTGATCTCAGGAGCAGTGAGTCTCCAAACCCCAGTCTCCTGGTTACTCCTGCTCTTGTAGGGGTTTCCTTGATTGTCTAGGATGGAAGAGCAAAGAAGCTCCAGATCAGGGAGAAGCGACTTTTGAGGTTAAAATGAATCCTCCCCTAGCTTAGTAGAAAGCAGGGTGATGACAGGGTTCCAGTCTGTATTCTGAGCCCCAAATACAAGGTGTTTTGTTCTAAGAAATACTATTAAGATTGTTCAGAAATATTAACATTCCACAAGCTTCCTTGAGTAGCGTGCACCGTAACTTAGTGACGGATGCTACCTTCTCAAGATCCTCAAGTTCTCGTTATCATAACATGAAAGTATGAAAGAGCATGCAGTTTGACTGACTTCCTCCCAGGTATGTGATGGCACCTTTTGCCTCCAGAGTCTGTGTTCCTCTTTGGTGTTCTGTTCATTTTGACGCTCACCAAAAGGTGGATCCATTGAGGCTGGTGTTATTGACAAGCTGGGTAGCCTTGGGCAAGGAGGAAACCTCTCTGAGACTGTTTGTTTTTCTACCTAACAGACATTATATCCACCTCTATATCTGATTTATTGGATATAAGAGAAGACCACTGGTTTATGGCCCTTTTCTCCTGGCTTATGAAAAATGGCCCTATCTGGCCCGGGAGAACCAGCCTGCTTCTCCAGCCAGTTACCCCCACCACCCATCTGCATTTCGTTGGATCACAGCTTTTCCCTCTATCAATAATTCTATTGTTTATTCTCCTACTCTTTCCCCAGTGAGTCATGAGCTAAGAAATTTTGTGCTTAACCATTCAAGCGTTTATTGCACCTGCTGTTGACTGGGAGCTGTCACGCATGAGGCCAGTCTATGGAGACAGAGATGAGTAAGAACTGACCTTGCTCTTGAGGTGCCCCTGGCTCAAAAATGATCTGAGATATAGAAAATAGTACAGTGCTACTAGAAATGTCCAGAAGTGCTTCATTAATGCAAGCAACACTTTCTGACCAGTGACAATGAGGACGGAGGCAGGAATGTAGTGGTGAGACAATATCAGCATGGTGCCATGATAGAAATCTGTGGGATTTGGGGAGTATGGAAGAAAGGTGGTGTGTTCTGCTAGAGAAGTGACCTGACTATAGCTTCACATCCCAGAAGGAAAATCTGAAATAGTCAGTGAGCAGCCTTCTATATGTTGCAGGGATTGGTGAAGAAATAGTGAAGAAAAGAGTCGAATTTCTCTAAATTTGTTTCTGTTGTTAGCCTTTCTGCATCCTTTGAGGCAAAGAGTAACAGCTGAGCAGATCATATGGCCTTTCTAAACAATAAGTCCCTTTTCCCAGTTCCCTTTTCTTTCTAGGATCCTAAAGAACCAGATTCAGCTCCTCTTTGCTCTCCCTTTCTTTCTCTTGTACAAGGTTAGAAGTGTTGTTAACAGCAAAGTCAGCTTGTCCCATCAACTAAAAAGGGTCACTGCTGGGTCTTCCTTGAAACTGGATATTCCCAAGAGAACCATGGCCATTCTGGAGTTTCCATATGTGGTATATTTGGGTCAGGTCAAGTTTCTCCTCCGGTGTTTTCGAAGACTTTGTATTTAGATCTGAAATCCTTCCAGGTATTTCCCCCCCCCCCTTTTTTTTTTAAGGGTACTGCTTTTACACCATATTGATGATACTTAAAAGCTGATTGGAACCAGTCCAGTATTTAATGACATCTTCTTTGCTGAGGCCCATCTCCTAGGTTCTTCAGTGTATTCATTGTGACACCTTAATTATAGATATGTGATACATGCTGCAACCAACAAAGAAATTTTCATTTTCAATGTTGATTACCTGTGGGAGAAAATGAATTTGATTATGACCTTTGCCCCCAAAGCTGTCTAGTTAAGTCCACATGTTTATGCACTATTGGATCCCGCTCCATTTCTGTGGGCTCTTGGGCAAGTGATTTCACTGTGATAAATACCAGTCTATTCATCCATGAAGCTGCATATACTCGAGAGATAACTCCATTCTGATAGCATCACTCCATGCCTTTATGCATTTAGACAGTAGTGCCTGCCATTCTCTACACCTAGGTCTGGCTTGTCAGCCTGCAGGATCTTGCTTTTTATGGTCCCGTGTGTGTGTGTGTGTGTGTGTGTGTGTGTGTGTGTGTGTGTGTGTG